TTTGAAGACCTTTCCTAAAAAGCTCTTTTTATAGAAGAGACCTTCAGAGCCAGCAGGAAGGTGATTTTAAAAATTGAAGAAAAGGCCCTGGCCAGTTTGGCTCAGCGGTTGGAGCGTCGGCCTGCGGTCTGGAGAGACCCGGGTTCGGTTCCTGCTAAGGGCACGTACTTCGGTTGCAGTTTGTCCCCGGCCCTGGTTGGGTTGTGCGGGTGGCAGCCACTCGATGTGTCCCTTCACGTCGATGTTTCTCTCTCTCTCCCTTCCTCACTCTCCCTCCCACTCTGTACAAAAAATGGAAAAATATCCTCGGGTGAGGATAAAAAAAAAAAAAAAATTGAAGAAAAGCTCAAAAATTTTTTTGTGTGTAAAACTACACAAGGGATTATGTACTGCACTGAGACCTTAAATTCTAATGCTGACTCTGCCTCTAGCTTGATCTGTGACCTTGCTTTTCCTTAGGCAAGTCATGCAGACATATTTTCTGCTGTGAGGGACCATGATAAAGTGTGGAACAACAGTGGCCACATTACTACCTGGTCTTACTTGTGTTGGAGATAACACATGTTTGTATATTTTTCCTTATCTAATATCTCTGGTTTCCTATTTGCTAAAAGTTCATAAATCTGTGGAAAATCATCAGTGTGGTGTTGAAGAGCCCTGGGGAGTGACTCAGAAGACCTAAATGTAATGCTATTTCAGCCCCCATTCAGCTGGAAATCTCTGGCCTGACCTTTAACCTCTCTGAATATTTCCTCGCTATAAAGTGAAGGAGGTAGAATAAGTAATCTGATTTCCATCATTCTGTATTCTTGATATCAAGGGTATCTTGACTAAAATGTTTGAAATGATCTTAGAGATGTCCATATTTCTAGCTCCAAAGGTAAGTTTCCACACTCTTAAATAAAATGGACTCAGTACAATATTTTAATGCAGACACTGCATTTTTGTATATACCATGATCTAATGTGTATTTTTATGCAAATCTGTTCTACAAAGTGAAATATTTTGAAGGTTAGAGATAATTTTCTTTAAATGATGTTTACAGCCTGGCCGGTTTGGCTCAGCGGTTAGAGCGTCCGCCTGCGGTCCAGAGAGACCCGGGTTCGGTTCCCGCTAAGGGCACGTACCTCGGTTGCAGTTTGTCCCCGGCCCTGGTTGGTTGTGCGGGTGGCAGCCACTCGATGTGTCCCTTTCACATCGATGTTTCCCTCTCTCTCTCTTCCTCTCTCTCCCTCCCACTCTGTCTGTACAAAGGATGGAAGAATGTCCCCGGGTGAGGATAAAAAAAAAATGATGTTTACAGCTTGTATGTAAACATTTTATAATTATTTAAAAGGAAAGGGTCCAGAAGATATGGAAATGCATTGTATTTAAATTTAGATACTGACAAAATATTTACTCTTTTTCTAATTTTCATGATGGGCATCTATCTCTTTATGTACACTCTTTCTAACACTCAAAATATGTATTTTCCTTATTTTTTATATTTTGAAGTGCACTTGGCTAATTTAGCATCAATATAATAGTAATAATAGCTTGATAATAGTTTGATATGTACTAGGACTCTACCATATTAATTTACTGAATTCTGGCAGCTACCCTATGAGGTAGGTACTTTTATTATCCCCAATTTTCTGAAGATAAAACTAAGGCACCTACAATACAGGTTAAGTAACTTGCCTAAGGCCACACAGCTAGGCTAGGATTGGAAACCAGACGGTTACATAGCCCAGGACTCTTACCATTAGGCAATATTGCCTCTCATATGAGTTGCTGACAAGTGATACAAAAGATGCTGCTTAATGACCAGAAGATAAACAGAATGAAGCCCGGTAGAAAATTAGGTTATGAGCAAAAAATAAGAATTTACAGATAGAGTCATTTTATCACAAGTGTTCTTACTAAGTCTGGGGAGGAAGTCAGACCATTTTGTGAATTCAGACCCTTGTTTAGTTAATTCCACAATCTCGAACCACTAAAGTGAAATGAAGGCCCTGTGTACGACCTGTGTCCCAGAGGAGGAGGGCTGACTTTAGGAGGTGACTGGAGAATGGTTTAGGAGCTTCCTACTTCCCATACTCCTGAGTGGCAAGTGACTGCTCCTGCTAGCCAGTGGGCGAGAGGAGTCCCACCCGTACCCAACGCACCGGCTGCGGTGGGGGTGGACAAAGAGCAATTGGCCTCTCCCGAGTCTGAGAAGCAAGGGATGTGAGTAGACATTTCCCCTCTAGCGCTCTTCTCCCAGGCAGAAACCGTGTTCACGGTCTCTCCTCCACCCAGTGTGCCGCAGGTGGTGCGGCTGCGGCAGCAGTGCCCTGGGATCCCAGTCTGCTCCTCCTTTCCTAGCTGCGAGCATTCTTCTCCTCGGCGTCCCATCCACCGCTGGGGTCGCTCGCGGGCGCTGGCTACTCGCCTAGGGTTTCCTTGGACGCTGGCAAGTCCACGAGTCTCGCACCCCGGAGCGCCAGTCCCAGCCGGCAGCCTCTCCGGAAGCCCTTCCCCCGCCCACTCTCCCAATCGCGCGAGGGCAGCGGGCACACAGACCTCCCCTTGCAAACTCCCACCCCTCCGGGCGCACCGCCTCTTCCCAGGCCCCTCCCAGGCACTTTTGCCTGCGAAAAGGGTAGGGAAAGTCGCGGCTCACACCGACCCCGAAAAGCCCACCTCCCTCCCTGAACGCCGCCTTTCCTTAGGTCGCTCGCTCACCCACTTTCTGCTTCTAGTTTCAGCCTAGAAGAGCAAACTCGTTCCAACTTCCTGAGAGCAACTCCGAGAGTGCGGGACAGTCAATTACCCAGGGTTGTTCATGAAAAATTCCCGCGACACCCACTCCTAAAACGCCTAGGTGTAGGTTCAAGAGCGTAAACGGCGACACCGAGTCAGACCCAACAGGGCCCGTGTGCAGGAGCCTTTTCCTGGCCTTGCTCCTCCGGTCCTTCGCCTGAGTCGTGATTCCGGTAAAGGGAGGTTCTGCGATTCAGGGAGTGTCTCTTCCTTTCCACCTGCGCTCAATCAGCCCGCCTCCGACTGCCGGCCCCTTCCTAGTCCTCGCAATCCAGTGAGATGTCCCCCGTTTCCACCCGCCTGGAGTTTCCCAAAAGTACTGCGGGTGTCAATATGAATTTTAGGCTTTACGGGCTAGGCTAGGCTCCCACATCCCTCATCCGCTCACTGATCCCAGGCCACAGAGGTTGAAACATGCTGACACCCTGGCGGACCCGATAGAAATTGATTCCCGATAGAAATTGATTCTGGTGGCTAGATTCCCACCCCCACCCTTGAGACACGGTCACATCCTAAGCTCACACACCTCCAAAATACGCACTGACTATTGTACTGGGCTGTACCCGCGGAGTAAGCGACAGACCCGCACCAGCTCCCGCCACTGTGGCGATGATGAGTGCGCCAGGTTTTGCCCAGCCCCGGCACCCGGCTTGGCCAGGTGCCACTTTCCGGCCTGAGGTCTTAGGGCGAGTGCGAGGGGGAGAAGAGAGGTTTAGGAAGCCAGTACTCACTGTTCCACGGTTCTCCTGGAGAGCCCGAGGGGAAGCTCCGGCCGGCTCGGCTCAGTCGGCCGTGCGCATGCGTCCCGCGTGTGTATTATTACTATTATTATTATTCTTGTAAAATAATACCCAGTGATGTCCTTTCTACTTTCGCGATTGCTCTCTCCAGTTTTCCTCTAAGTCTGGCTCTGGGTCTTTCCTCTCGCTCTCTTCCTTCCTCTCCCTTCCTCTGTTCTGCCTCCTCCCTCTCCTCCTTCCCCAGCGGGGCAATCCCAGGTCTCGCCACCTCCCTCTGGCGGCCGCTCGCTCCTCTGCTGTCGGTGCTAACTGGGGTCGCCCTTGGCCACATGGCGGGACCCAATCCACTCCCGGACCATTGCCTCCCTCTTTGGCCCGGGATTAGTAAGCACCGAGAGTGTGAGAGCGGAGCAAGGCGGGCGCTGAGGTTATTTGCAGAGTCCCCCTCTGTGATCCCCACGCTTCGGTGCGCAGGAACCCCGTGAGATTACAAAGTGCAGGAATTTGTGCTCCAACCTTGTGAATGAAGAGGACAGAGGGAGGTGCTTGTGTTGAGGGTGCTCAGTTCAAGGAGAGGCTGCTCAGTCACTGGAGATTCTTGACGCGGACTGCCCCTCACTGCCCCTCGTATGGAGGGCAGCCTCCTACCTTCTCCCTTTCCCAGGGTGCTTCTTGGAGCTCTGTCCCCCGCCCACCTCGGTGCAACCTCCGTCTCTGGTTGTGCCACCAGCACTAGGAAGGGGGCTCCTCACTGACTCTTGGCTAGTTGGGGAGTGGCGGGAAGGGCTAACTCCGGATTCCAGATCCTGCTGAGACCCTTGGCAGTTGCCCTCCGTTCCCAGGGGGCTCCGGAGTCCGGGATAAGAGGAAGGGCCGGAAAGTGTAGGAGGAACCTTGTCACCAGCTTTGCGAGCATGGATGGCCGACTGTCCCTACAGTCCCCAGGTTGCCCTCGTGAGCGAGATGCACTTGTACCTCCAGGGCGGTGCACCGGAGCTCAGAGGGCTAAACTGAAGCTGGAAGCTGACCTGACACAAAACTAACATCACGTCATTTCCTCTCCGGCCTCTCCAGCCGGCTGAAGTCAGGAGGGCAGGGGAGGGGGTATGCATGGAGGGGGCGGAGGCCATCTGAGGGAAGCTGGGAGGTGGGGGAGGAAAGGGACTCGTTCAGAACCCGAGTTTGAGAAGCAACCTCGGGAAAGACAAGGGTTTTCTCCTGCTTCCTTGAACGCTGGAAGGAAATAGTCTGGGAAAAAGTAGTTAGGAGGTTTCCTGAAGGGAGGGGTATCTGGTCTGTCGCTGGCGACTTTTCCTTGAACGTGGTCAGCCCCGTCTCGAACTTTCCACCTCTGCTTGCAGGCCAGAGCCCCTGTTGGCCCTGCGTAGAGTGGCTCGGTGGGGGTTAGAAAGGAGCTGGAAATGCAGGCGTCCGGGTGAGGCCAGAGTTGGGCATGGTGGAGTAAACGGTACTCACCAGCATGGACGAGAGCTGCCTGGCGCTGGCATCCTCTTGCCGGGACAGGCATCTCCCTGCGGGTCTGCCAGTCAGTGTCAGAGCTGCCCCCAACTGGACGAGAAGCAGGTAGGGCAGGCAACGGGAGAGAGAAGTCCCAGCGCCGCTGGGGAGCATCAGAAATGGGTATCCGGAGAAGGTGAGAGAAGAACCGCGCAAAGTTGGAGAGCATGCTAGAAAGGAGGCTGAGCAGCTTGGGCCGCGGGTGAATCTGGGATCTGTGCACGGCCGGAAAAGGGAAGGGCGAGAGGTGGGGGAAGGAGAGAAACAAAACCAGCATACCATTACTGGTGGGTCTAGCTACGTCCAGACTGAGGAAAACATGCACTTAATGCTATTTACTACAGCAGTACTTTGGGGATGCAAGAGAAGGTCGGCGAGAGCAAAAGGAGGGGACTTTGGTTAGATTCTGTCCCCCTTACTTTCCTTTCTCCCCTTTCTCCCCTCGTTCTCCCTCCTCCCCTCTTTCTACCTCCATGCTGGTCCTTAGAGCTGCAGCTTCGCTAACAAGCAGTTGTTCGAAATGCAGAATCACAGGCTCTATTGGACCTACTACATCAGAATCTGATGAAGTATGCACAGTAAATGTGAAGTGCAGTGTATAGAAGAGTCTGTGTGGACATATCTTGATTATTTAAAATTTGGGTGAAAATCTCCCAGTTCACTTTTGCAATTCTTGTTCTTCCTCTTCTATCTCTCATCCTATCTCTTTCTCTGTCCTTTACCACCACAGAAGGCGGACTTGGTTACACATTTTCATCGGGATAGGTGTCTGGAAGACTTGGATAGTGGGAGGTAACTGAGGGATCCAAACCCACCTCAGGCTGGAGAGAGAAAGAGCCTGGCTGAACTGACTTTGGTTGTGGTGGGTACGGTTGGTGGGATGGAAGACCAGACCTGTGTTGGCTACCCTCTGCAGGCCCCTTTCTGTACTTTCTATGCCCATCTTGTACTCTGGAACACAGGCCTTTCCACTTTCCACTTGTTCACCTAACCGGCCAGGGTGAAGGTAAAATCCTTACTTTTTTTTTGCTTAGAAAATAGAGGGAAGGACTAATTTAGAAGTTAGAAGTCCAGGATCCTGGGCTCAGATCTGCAACTAACTTGATAGCTAACCTTGGGAACGTTTCTTTACTCTTTGAGACTATATGGTTTGTTTGTAAAGTAAAGGTATTAAACTCAGCAGTTTTTTAAGTTCTCCTGCCTTGTTCAGGCTCTCATTTTTTGAGAAGTTCTCAGGGCTTCTTGGTCCACTAACATTTAGTGAAGTTTCAAACCGGAACCTAGCTCAGCCAATCTAAACATCCCCCTCAAGCAAAACAAAAAGGCACTTCAATCAGCTTGTGAAAAGCTGGAGTGGTCGGTGCCAAGAAAAATGAAGGGGGAGATGGGAGGCAGCGAATAAAAGCGACAGGAAGGCTGAGCGCGCGAGGGGGCGAGGCTCGGGGGCGTGGTGTTGCGTGGGTCTCAAGGGCACTGCAGCCGCTCTCCAGGGTCCTGAAGCCGGCTTGGCTTGGTTCCACCACTTTGCAGTTGCCAGGTCCCCAAAGTTTTCTTTTATCTGTGGAGGCCTTGTGGGAAGCGATTGTCAAGAGGGAGGGAGGAAACCTAGCAACACATTCTCATTCATGAGGCCCTTTTTGGGAAGCTGCCGAGCGTTTTGGCTGATTTGTCTTTCGTTCGTTTGTATGCTCCCGGGAGAGATTGGAGCTCAGTTTGCATTTCCGAGTAAGTTCACCCTATTTCATTTCTCATCACTACTTTTTCCTGTAGAATGAGGTCGTTCTCCTAGTATTTTCGTTTTTTCTCGTCCCTTCCCCGGCTTTCTGGCACAGCACGTTTATTTTAATTGTTGGAGCTGGGAGATCGGGAGGCTTCCGGAGAAGCGCCAACAGCTCACAAGAGCGGGGACATGAGATATTTGGAACACGCTCAGAGCCTGTCGTGGTGCCCAGCGTTTGTTTCCTTCGGGGAGGAGGACAGTAGATGCACCCCTTTGGCTAGGATTTGGGGTGGAGGCTCAGCTGATGACAAGCTAGTTCCGCCGTCTTGGGGCGGCTGGACCCGGGCGGTCTTGGCTAACCTGGTGCGCACCTGCGGGGTAAAGGGGTGGCGGGTCAACGACAGTGGCAGTGTCTGCCTCGAGCGCTTTGCGGAGCCTCAGGAACTTCAGTGACGTGGGAATTGGGCTGGACTCTATGCTATGGAAGTTGAGAGAGAATCAGCTCGGTCCCTGGCGACTCAGAGCTCTACTAAGCCTCCCGAAGACCTTCCTGACCAGCCTTCATGCAAGGGCTTGAACAAAGCGGAAAATGCTGAAAGCGAGCAGCAGGCACACTTCTGCGACACACGCCCCACTCCATGAAACCTTCGTGGGCCTTTCGTGGGTCCCAGAATTTACGTTTCTGTCTCTGTTTACAAATGGTTTTGTGAGAATGTGTGAACCTGTATTCTGTTTCCTCTTCTCTCGCCCCAGCCCTTCTTTCTAAGACATGTGCGCTCCCCCGCCCCCACCTCCGCATGCTTCATTAGGCATTTTGCTTCGGTCCTGTGCTTCAAGACAGAGACACTTGTGAGGGAATCAGGAAATGTTCAGGCAGAATTAAAGTCCCAGACTCAGTCCTGGAAACACAAGGCCGGGGCTCCTTTGCTCTTCTGAAGACATTCCCCTTCAACCCTTCCCTAGATTGGTCTTTTTCTTCCAAATCAACAGCTTCTCCCCAGTTCTGGCTCTAATTAGTGGGGATGTAAAGGATGATACATGGAGGGTGCTAAAATCCATATTCTTCTTTTGGCCCTTCTGGCAAGGGCAGAGCTACACAAAGTTCTAACTGAGCAAATATATCTGAGGAAAGAACTTTATCTGCAGTGCTGATCACTCCGGAGAGTCCTTTCTTTTAGGCCTCAAGATTCTAGATGACAGTCTGAGGGTTTCAAAGATATTAGCCACAAAATTGAATCTGTGTTCCTGAAAGCACTGCTCCTTGGGGATCAGATGACATAGGAAACACATTTTTTTCTGATGTAATCCACTTCCCTGATTAATCATATTGGCTATTGAGCCACCCAGAAGAGAAAATCACAGTGCCCTAAATTAATATAAACAAAGTCCCACCCCTTGAAAGGCAAATTAAAACTTTTTATTTATTCCTAAATAGTACTATTTCATAAAGGAAACATCCTTTATGGAGTAGGGTGGTGGTCCCCTAATCTAGTATGACTGGTATCCTTACAAAAAGGGGGAATTTAAACATAAACATGTACGCAGGAAGAATGCCATGTGAAGGAGAAGGCAGAGGTCACAGCGATACATCTATAGACCAAGGGATGCCAAAGATTGCCAGCAACAACAGAAGCTAGGAAGAAGCATCACACAGATTCTCCCTGAGAAGGTATTTGGCCACAAGACTGAAACATTTAAACCCCAACCTCCTGGCTTGCCCTACAGATTTCAGACTTGTCAGCCTCCAATATATTCTATTGGTTCTAGTTCTCTGGAGAACCTTGACTAATACACCCTAATATAGATTTTATCATCTTTAACCTGGACTATTAGAATAGCCCCATAACTGGTATTTCTTCTCCTTTGCCTCTTTATCATTTGTAAATATAGTCTCAATATTGAAGCCAGAGTTATCCTTCAAACTGTAGGCCAGATGATGTCACTCTGCAACTTCAAACTTTCTATTGGCTTCTTATTTCAGAGTAAACTCCAAAGTCCTTACACTAGCCCTCAAGGCACTACATGAATGGTCTCATCCTACCTCTCAGATCTCTTTTTCCTATACAGCTATCTCTACAATATTGGTTTTCCACAGCACTTATTGCCAATTGACATACAATATATTCACTTGTTTATTTCCATGATTTTGTTAATTGCTATATCAATAGTGCCTACAATGGTCCTTGACCCTTAACAAAATGCTCAATAAATAGTTGCTGGACAAATGTATTAACAAACAAACTTAGATATCATTCGGCCATAAAAAGGGATGGAATTCTGATGATACATGCTACAACATGAATGAAACTTGACAACTTTATACTAAGTGAAAAAAGCCAGACACAGAAGAACAAATATTGGCCTTGGTCAGTGTGGCTCAGTTGGGTGAGCATTGTCCAGTGCACTGAAAGGTTGCAGTTCCATTCCCAGTCAGGGCACGTGCCTAGGGCTCAATCCCTGGTGCATGCCAGAGGTTGCATGAGGCAGCCCTGCTGGAGGCAGCCGATTGGTGTCTCTCTCTCTCTCCTTCATTCTCTCCCTTCCTCCTCTCTCTAAAGAAAAATTTAAAAATAATAAAATCAATAAAAACATATTTTTAAAACATCAGAATAAGATAACAAATATTGTATGATTTTATATATGAGGCACCAAAATTAGGCAGATCCATACAGGTAGAAAGTGGTTAGCAGGGGCTAGAGGGGAGAGGATAATGGGGAGTCATTGTTTAATGGATGCAGAATATTTGAATTGATAAAAAAGTTTTGGGAATAGATGGTGGTGGTGGTTAAACAACCTTATGACTATATTTAATGCCAATGAATTATACAGTTAAAAAAGGTTAAAATCGTAAATTTTATGTTATATAACATGATACTCAAAACCCTTCAAGGTGTGAGCTATGAAAAGTTACTGCAATGTTACTGACTATATTCCCTATGCTGTACTTTACATCCCCATAGCTTATTTATTTTATAACTGAAAGTGTATACCTCTTATTCCCCTTCACACTTTCTACTCATTCCTCCACCCCTTCACCTCTGCCAACCATCAGTTTTTTCTCTGTATTTATTAGTCTCCTTCTGTTTTGTTTTGTTTGTTCATTTGTATTTTTTTTTTCAGATTTTATGTGTAAGTGAAATCATACAGTGTTTGTCTTTCTTTCTCTAGGTCCATCTATGTTGCTGCAAATGGCAAGATTTCACTATCTTTAAAAAAAAATTTTTTTGTATCCTCACCCAAGGACATTGTTGCATTTATCTTCAGACAGAGTGAGAGGGAGAGAGGGAGGAACAGAGAGAGAAAAACATCGATGTGAGAGATACATCGAGTGGCTGCCACCCACATGACCCCAACCCAGGCAGGGACAAACTGTAACCGAGGAACGTGCCCTTAGAGTGAACTGAACTGAACCCAGGACTCTGGTCCGCAGGCTGACGCTCTTACCACTGAGCCAAACCAGCCAGGGCAAGATTTCATTATCTTTTATTGCTGAGT